GCGTAGGTTACTCCGCTCGAGCGGATATGCAGACAAAGGTTTCCGCTCGAGTGTATCATTACCCGCTCGAGCATTCTACAAAACAGTCAAAAGTGCTGGATGGGCGAAAATCACGCTCGATTGGACGCTCGGCACCCGCTCGAGCATGAGACACAATGTCCCGCTCGAGCATCAATTATTCCGCTCGAGCAGACTTCAAAACAGAACAAAATGCTGGGAGCATGATTTCCACGCTCGAGCGCCAGTCACCCCGCTCGAGCTTGAGTCCAAATTCTGGAAATTCCAGATTTGAACCTCAAGCTCAAAACCAAGTTTTAAACCATAAATTTTGATCCTCATGAGCCAATTTTTCAGAAAACACATCAAAACTCATACTTTAACATGATTCAAAGCTCAATTTGTAAAATTGAGGCCCAAGGGTGTTTCAAATAAATCCAATTCAAACCAATTTCCATGAATATGAGGAACATGCAAACATGCATGAATCTAACCAATTCAAAGCTTTAAATACAAGCTCAAATGAGCTAACTCTTACAAAAACATGATGAATTCATGGTCTAATGTAAAATTATGAACATGCATGTGGCAAATTTATGAAGACCAAGCTCTAAATGCAAGAGTATACCATGCATGCAATAATTAAGCTTCAATTCAACACTTTTGAACCAATTCGTGACTTAACCCTTCAATTAGACATGAACCATGCAAGAATCAACTTAAACACAATAATGAGGGGTTGAATTTCCTTACCTAGGTTTTCAATTACAAGAGTAGAAGTTCAATTAGGCAAATCTCTTACAAATTCTCCAAGTCTCTAAGCTAGACTCTCACTTGAACTCAATTCCCTCACTCTCACCTTCTAGGTCGATTGTGTGCAAGAAATGGGAGAAGAAATGTTTTGTTTACATGTATACAAGCCTCCAAGTATGTTGCCTAAGTGATCCACTAGGGATGGCAAGGTTGTAATTAAGCCAACTATTGTAATTCAACTCATTTTAATCCAAATTAATCATACCAAATCACCTTTTAATTACACCATAAAATCACATAAATCACGATGATCATAAAACACTAATCGGTTTCCGGTTCGGCCGCCGACAAGGCCTTTAATTCGCAATTTAACCATAAAAACACGAACAGATAATCAAATAACCAAACAGATAGAATTACAATTAAACAGGTATACTCAGTCAATTCAGTTTCAATTTCGGTCAGTCAGTTCAGTAGTTTATTCAGTTCAGGTCAGTCAGGTCAGTCAATTCAGTTTGAAGCCCCGGAAGTAAGATTTCCAATGGTGGCAGCCTTGCATCAAAATTCCAGTTGTGAAAAAAGTAATGCCTATTTTGGTGAAGCCGCGCAGTTTTGGTTCTACCCAGATTCATGCCGAACTTCTCCCAAACTAGTTTTCTTCTCTCCTTTCCCATTTTCTTCAACTCCAAACCCCTAAACAAGGTGTTTTGAAAGATTTTTCAAAGAGTTCACCCCTCTCTCATTCATTTCCACTTTTTCCTTTCTCAGTTTACCGAAAGGCGCAACTTTTAACAAAATGCAAGTGTCGGAACATCGTAGAAATTTCTTTCAAAAATATTTTGAAAGAGAGGGTTTTAAGGTCTAAAAACAATTCAAAATAGCTTTGGTCCAAAATGAGGTGTAAGGTTGGGGGGTTTGACTCTCTTCGTGCCAAAGAAATTGAACATTTGCCCGGCCATCTTTCACCACCCAGTAAACCATCAGTAACGCCCAAGTCTTAAGGACGGTCAAAAATAAGGTATCTATAATAATATTTTTGCTTTGCCTCATTAAAGAAGGTTTTGCCATTTCTTACATGTGAATAATTATAGAATTTAAAGAAAATTAACTAGATGCAAATAAACTACTATGAACATAAACATTTTACAGATCTGTACAGTTGTTGGAACTAAGATAAACTAGAGAAATTAAAGACATTCTTGTAAGCCAACAAATATTTTAAAAAAATAATTAAAAAAAAATCTTTTTTTTATCTCAAATTATCATTTTAATTTGAGAGAGCATTTGAACTTAATAGATCCATTTTAGAATCGATTTCGGTGATTTAAACTATTCACTTTTTTTGACTCATTAAGTATAATATTCACACAAAATCAAAATGATTGGATATCAGTAGTTATATGTTTAAATCATATTTGTCTTGAAAAAATGGGCAACAAATATAATTTAAAGAATAACTATACATTTTTGTAATACAAATTTGATTCAAACATATAACTGTCAATATCCGATCATATTAATTTTTTGCGTGAATATTTTACTCAGTGAGTTATAGAAAGTGAATAATTCAAATTATCGAAATGGGACTTGCGATGGATTACATGTGTCTTTCAAGTTCGTGTCTTTTGCTTGGTAATAGCCCACTTCTCATGTATACTGATTTTTTTATTTTTTATTTAAAAAAAAAAGATTTATGTATGATATTACAATGAAATTTAAAAATGACAATAATAGTAATAAATATTAAATACAATTCAAACTTTTTGCAAACAAACTTTTAGAAAAGAAAATCTCAATTAACACTCAAGAAATAAGACCCAGTTGGAGAGACTCAAACTACTGACTTTTTAGTGAGGTGTATGAGTTCTAACAAATTGAGTTAACTCAATTGGTTCTCATGTATAGTGATTAAAAGACCTTATGTTGCATCCATATGATTCACCTTCTTAATCCCCATCAACTCGTTACTCTACTTAAAAAATAAAAGATTTCGCTTATATCTTGTTGAAAGTTGAATTGGACTAAATAGTTGATGTCTCAGCTAGGAAGAGTTTATGAAAACATGATTTAGTTGAATTTTTTCAAGTCAAAATATTTCGTTAAATGACTCTTACCGGCCAGAGTCTTCTATAAAGACATCAACTGTATGGCGAGGCAAACCATTTCAAAAATATAAAATACTTGTAAAGATTTTTTTAAAATTTTTAATAAATACAAAAAAAAAATACTGAATTTTTGTTTTTTAATTTTTGTTTGATATTTAGATTCCGTTTGTTTCAATGTAAAATATTTTATACACAACAACATATATATTTTTTTGTAAATTGATTTTATACAACAAAAAAAAATTGTTTATTTTTGTAGCGTTTAGTTGACACTTGAAATAAAAATATTTTATTGCCTAATTTTTTTTTTTTGATTCAATAAAATATTATTTATAATTTTTTAGTGAGCTATGAAACTTATTTGGAAAAGGTAATTTTGTTGAAAAGGTGTTGAATGAGAGTCAATTTTGTAAAAAATAACTTACCGATTTTTTATCATTTTTGAAAAAATAATGCCAAAATATTTTACGTCAAGATAAACAGAGTTTTAGTAAATTATTAAAATATTTTTTCATATTTTTTTTCTTACTTTTAAGTATATTTGAATTAAATAAATCTAAAAAAATATTAAAATTTCATTAAAAAAAATTACAAATTACAAACTCAAAATTTATTTTTTAAAAACCAAAACCAAACAAGTAAATCTCTCACAATCACACAACCAATAAACTCTAGCGTTCAATGAACTTGAGATGAGCTGCCTCAATTTTTTATATGCCACGTGAAAAGTTTTGTTTCTTACTCCAAATAATTAATTAATTAATCATAGTCGCAGCCCCAAAGCAAAGCAGAGCAAAAAGCCAAACCCAACTCCATTTCATATGAGCCATGGATTTGACCTGCTAGATGAGATATTATGAGATTTGGAGGTTTGGCCTCTCTAATACTTTAGATTTGATGTATTGTTTAATGTGTAATATATTAAAATTTGTATTTTTTTATTAAAAAAATTTATAACTAATTCATAAATAACACTTTAATAGCTGATAACTGAAAGTTGGTTTGAGAGTATACTATTTTAGTAATTTTTTAATAAAAGTATAAAATGAAAAAAATTAATAGATTTATAATATATTTTTATTTTTTATAAAAAAAATGCAAAAAATAAACAAGAAAGGAAATATTTGATTTTTTATTTTATTTTATATAATAGTTTTCAAAATTACCCTGAGAAATCTTATGGTATGCACATCTATAAGTTTATTATAAAATTTCATAATATTAATTATAAAATGTGTAATTTCGTCATAAATTGATATAATAAAAATTGTCGTAATAAAATCATAAATTTGAAATATTAATCACAAAATTTTAAATATTTTATTATGTTAATTTATAATATATTTACATATTTTGTACTTAATATTATAAATTTTTGTGATAAAATTATATCAGTAAAGTGCATATAATGTACACCATAGACTTTTCATATATGGTATTTCACCTCTTTCTCAATCAAGAAAGACAATGGTACACATTCTTTAAATATGCATACTATTAAAATCAGATTATACTTATAAGAAAAAAAAGAAGAGAAAGGACGAGGCTTTCTTGATCGGATTGAAGGGTGCTATTGGATTGTGGAGGCTTATTACGGGTCCCATCTTGATAATCTGAACTGTTCAATGTGTAGAATTCGTCAAGTAATATATGTTTGTAAAAAAATAAATTGATCGGATATCGATAGTTATCTCATCGGATCAGACTTCTGTCAATCGTTTATTTTTTCACCGTCTATTTTTTTATATACAAAACTGGTTTGATCACGTAACTATCGATATCCGATTAACGTAATTTTTTATAGGCATATAGTGCTGAATAAATTCTACATATTCAACGTTTCAGATTATTAAAATGGTACCCGTGGTTTTAGATTTTTATCTTAAAAAAATACAAAAAAATATAAAAACTAATGAGATAAAATGTCGCATTTAAATAATAATCATTATATTTTTTCTTTTACGAAAATAAAAAAATCAAAAAAATTATATCAAATGAAGTTAAAAATGTTTTACCATAAAAAAAACTAATTAAAAAGTGAATGCCAAACGAAGGCAGAATCAATTAAAAAGTGCATATTGTATATGAGAGGTGTATTAAAAAGTTCATATTGTATATGAGAGGTGTATTATTATATAATTCTCCCTCTCAACTATAGGAGAGAGAGTCATATCTGTCAGCTCAAGTCATCTCTCCGGACTCCTGGTCTCTCCTCCATTACTAACAATTTGATCAGAAGCTCATCTGCCTCCTCTATCTTCTTACTGTATTCTCTCAAGAAAACCCCATTATCATCCTCTCTCTCTCTCTTCTCTCTCTCTCTCTTCTCTCTCTACATATATATCAATTACAGAAGAGGAGGAGAAAAATGGGATACGAGAAAGAAGCAAGCTCATCCTCACATGCCCTCAAAGTCCCACCTCTACTACTCCCCAGAGAAGACACCCCTCTCCTCCTCTCCAAATCCAAACCTCTCTCCTCCAATCCCAAGACCTTCGCCAACGTCTTCATCGCCATCGTTGGCGCCGGCGTCCTCGGCCTCCCCTACACCTTCAAGCGCACCGGCTGGGCCATGGGCGTCCTCCTCATCTCCGCCGTCGGCTTCCTCACCTACCATTGCATGATGCTCCTCATCCACACCCGCCGCCGCATCGCCTCCCTCCACGGCGGCATATCCAAGATCTCCTCCTTCGGCGACCTCGGCTTCGCCGTCTGCGGCCCCCTCGGCCGCCTCTCCGTCGACTCCATGATCATCCTCTCCCAAGCCGGCTTCTGCGTCAGCTACCTCATCTTCGTCGCCACCACTTTAGCCGTCGTCTTCAATTCCTCCCCAACCACAAACCCTAATCCCCAATTCCTCGGCCTTTCTCTCAAATCAATCTACATCTGGGTTTGCTTTCCCTTCCAATTGGGTCTCAATTCAATCCCAACTTTAACCCATTTAGCCCCTCTCAGCATCTTCGCTGACATAGTCGATCTCGGAGCTATGGCCGTAGTGATGATCGAAGATGTTACAATTTTCCTTCAACAGAGACCAGTTCTACAAGCTTTCGGAGGCTTCTCTGTGTTTTTTTACGGTTTAGGTGTGGCCGTTTATGCATTCGAAGGAATCGGAATGGTTTTACCACTAGAATCAGAGATCAAAGAGAAAGACAAGTTTGGGAAAATTCTGGGTTTATCAATGACATTCATTTCTTTGATGTATGGAGGTTTTGGAGTTCTGGGTTACATGGCTTTTGGGGAAGACACAAAGGACATAATCACAACCAATCTAGGACCAGGCTTGTTGAGCACTATAGTTCAAATAGGTCTGTGTGTGAATCTTTTCTTCACATTCCCACTGATGATGAACCCAGTTCATGAGGTGGTGGAGAGGAGGTTCTGGGGAGGACAGTACTGTCTGTGGCTGAGATGGGTGCTGGTGCTGGTGGTTAGTTTGGTGGCTCTTTTGGTTCCGAATTTTGCAGATTTCTTGTCACTCGTGGGGAGTAGTGTGTGTATTGTTCTGGGTTTTGTGTTGCCAGCTCTGTTTCATTTGATGGTGTATAAAGATGAGTTGGGTTGGATTGGGATGTGTTTGGATGGTGGGATTGTGGCGTTGGGTTTGGTTTTGGCTGTGTATGGAACTTGGTCTTCTCTGTCGGAGATATTTTCCACCCACGCTTGATCAACAATGGAGCTCATCTTCTCTGTCTAATTTTACGGTTTAATTTGTAAAATTTTCAAGTGGGGGTTGTTTGCTGGTAATTATTTAATAATTTTGGAATATAAGCATTGTAATTGATAGAGAAGATCAATAAGTGGAGTGTTGTATTAGGTGATTGAGAAATATAAAAAAATATCTTAATAATGATTAGTTAAGAAGTTGGGATATGCGATATTCGGAAAACATTCAATAATTTTCATGTTGGTGGTGATATTTTAAAATAAGAACAATTGTTAACCAATGGTGTTGTGATTTTTTCATGTTGGTGGTGATATTTTAAAATAAGAACAATTGTTAACCAATGGTGTTGTGATTATTTGGTTTATTTTCTTGTTTATTTGTTTATTATTATTTTTTTATGAATGTGATTCATGATCTCTCAAGCTGTCAAAGGCAGCTGTGTGTTAGGGGAAAATTCCGGTGTAAAGAATAAAATAAAATAAAAGTTTGTAAAATAATTACTATAAAATAGGGAACTTTTCTAATTACATTTATATTTTTATCAAAATTTTGTTTTTGTATTTTCATTTTTAGATGTGTCAGACTCTTTATACTTCTAATCTAACCAAAATAGTTAATGAGGCTAATCAAAATTAAAAATTGAGAGATTAAAGTGGTAGACTAAAATAAAATTTTAGTAAAAGTGTAACTATGCAAATGAGATTAGAAAAATGTTAAATATAATGAAAATGACAACTTTCGTTAATTTTGTTGATGTCAGATGATTAGAATGGTTATATTGGTGCCGTTTGGTAACACTTACGTTTTCAGTTTTCTTTTTATATTTACAAAAATTTAAAAAATTCAAATAAAAACTTGTTTGATAAAATTTTTTATTTATAAATCAGTGGTCTCAGTTTTTAAATTTGGCCAAAAAATGAAAACACAAAAAATGTGTTTTCATTTTGAGTTTTTTACCACCCAACACTAGCCACCACCTGCCATCATTTTCCACCACCGTCTTCCGCCACCGCCACCACCCACTCCCCACTACTACCACCCACCAGCCACCACCCATCTACCATCCACCCGCCACCACTCACCACTCCCCACTAACTTGCTACCACCACTCACCACCCACCTGCCACCGTGTGCATATAATGTACATATTCAAAGTCAAAGCACGAGGTAAACCATTCAGACCCAAAGGCAGAATTAGAATTCCGGTTCTTTTAATATTTTATTCTTTCCTACCCGCCACCACTACCCACCCGCCACCACCCGCCATCCGCCATCCACCTGCCACCACCACCCACCACCTGCCACCATCACCCACCACCACCACCAGCTACCCACCACCCACCGTCACCACTTTCCATCACCGTCTTCCGCCGCCACTTGCCGCCGCTTGCGATTTCTTACTCTTTTTTATATTTTAATTTTTTTAAAACATTTTTTCAATTACCAAACGCGTTTGTAGTTTATATTTGTCTAAAAATAAACAAAAACTAGTTTATAAAATTTTTGTAAATATAAATTAAAAACGTAAACGTTACCAAACATACCTATTATAACTTGTTTTAAAGAATAAAATGTTAACTTTTACAATTAAAAATGAAGTGATTAAAATAAATTTTTGATGAAAATATAAAGGAGTGTTAAACAATTCATAACTTATCCTCCCAGCCTTCGCTTTCTATCACTTTTTTCATACAAACACTAGCATTTTGGCATCAACAGTTTTTGGGTTTTTTAGTTTTTTTAATAAAAAAAATTAATTTTTTTTACCCAAAACAATCCAATTTTTTTTGTCAAAAAAAACTATTAAAAAAATCAAAAAACCAAAAAATCATCTTTTTACCCAAAATATCCCAATTTGTACTTTTTCTCTTACTTCCTTTCATTGAAGCCAGACACCCTTCACTCTTATCTACTTATTTACAATTTATTGAATTATGACTCACAAGTCTTGTATTTCAAGATTTTTAAATGAAGGGTTTTGAATTCTTTTGTTTTTCTATTTTAAAATACTCTAGAATTGTTGAATTATATCTCAAAATTTTGTATATTTTTTAAATTTTAGACATTTTGAGGATAATAATTAGTTTTAGATAATAATAAAACATTAAAAGAAAAATGAGAGGTGTATGGGGAGAAAATATCCGTCGCTGTCCGTACTCCTTTCGTTCAAGTTCCGTGTCTATCCGATCAACCTGTGAATACAACGGCGGTGAGCTACTCGGCAGTGTGTTCTCGGAAAACCCCTCCAACGATCAAGTTAGCACACACTCAGAGAGAGAGAGAGAGAGAGAGAGAGAGAGAGATTCAATCAATGTCAAATTATATCTCACCAAATGATGTTTCATCATTAGCATGGGGGCGTAGTCATGCTTATATACTTTCTGCGCTCTACTCTGCACCCATTAGTCTCTTGACACGTGGAGTTACTCTCTCATCTGTCGGCACAAATCTAGCGAACACCACCTAACCAAACCGCCAAACAACATTAGCAGGAACTCAGCAGCCCGGCGGCATCACCTCGGCCTCACACGACCGTGTTGCGTAACGAGTCCGAGTGTTCCGCTCGTCGAGCTCCATAACAACCGAGCTCAGTAGCATTCCGGCAGAGCCGAGTTCAAGACAGGTCGAGTCGGTAAACAGAATGCCTTTCCCGCCGAGGTAAACGTGCAAACCATGCAACCCGGGTTGGCAAGCGATCATCTTGGCCAAGTAAGCTCGGCCCAGACACGGGACCTGATCCTTGGCCGAGCAAAACCGACACTGGACATGGACAAGCCCAAGTAGCTCGGTCCAAACATGGTCTTAGGCCTCAACCGGGCAAAACCAACTCCGGACAAGCCTAAGTTAGCTCGGTCCAAACACGCTCGGTCCTCAATTTTCCCGGCTTCTATCACGGCCCAAGCCAGCCTATAAATCTCCCTCTCGATTGCCCCTTAATTCCGTCTGCAAAAGCGTAACTGAGATTACATGATCCGACCGGGATAGATTCTCCGCTGGTCTTTCCTCTGCAAGACATTAACCGTGTTTATCCCCACGCTCGGTTTCTAGACTTACTCGGTCGACACCTCAACTTGCCATCCTGTCTCTTCTGTACTGACGCCGTCACCATTATGGACACGCGTCGATCACTTATTGGCCTCGAGTAGCCAACCTAACCGTCTCTTCATATTCAAATTTTGGCGGTTCTTTTCTTCTATAAACACGCCACTTGCCCCATTCACATTTTCTTCCTTACTGTCTCTCCTCCATTCTAGACGACCCGTCGCAGCAGTGCCCTCATCTCTGTCAAACACCTTTCTAGCCCTGGACTGACTTCGTGCTCGAAGATTCGACTGTCGCCCTCATTCTGGTAAGTTCTTCGAATCTCTTCATTGCTTTTTCATTTGGTATTTCACATTTTAGGGCACAAATGCCATAGGTTTTAGGATATAGCTCCCCAAAAACCTCCTATGCCCCTGCTCTCTTTACTGTTCTTCAACTTCAGTGATAAACATGCAAGGATCTGGGGCGGACCGGGCTCTAGGTTTTCTTTTGATCCGAAAAACCACCGAAACCGAGCAAGTTGCGAGTTTGCAAAACTCATGTAGAAACCGAGGTAACGGAGTGCTGAACCGCTCGACCGAGCTAATATCTGGTCCGCTTGAGCGGCCAAGCTTCTGGGTTTACCTTTTGTGATCGAAATGGTCTGGTACTCCATCTGACCGAGCTAAAATCGAGCTCGTTTTGCTCGACAGCGCTCCTACTTACACTTTCTTTTACTGTAGAGTGCAAGGGGATCACGCACCAACACTGAGGTTCTCAAAGGCAGAGCAGCCATCAAACGATAGTTTGCCAAACCAACACAGCCGTGCTAACACCAACCGACTTCACATGGGGTGCTACTCCTTCCTGGTTGACACGCCGATCGCATTAGCCGCGTCCCGAGAAGAATACGACGTCCCCGTTGATGTACATCTCGAGCTCGGTGCCATTTTGGGCCATTTTGAGTTAGCTCGTGAGTTGGGTGATAAATAAGGTTTGTCCTTACATAATTGAATTTTGTTACGCGTCAATGCCAACTTTACATCTATTAGTGCTAGTGTTTTGGGAGAAAATCATTATTTATTTTTATTTTTATTTTTATTTTTTATAGTTGAGAGTTTGAAGAAAAATTATTAATTGATTTTGAGACAATTTTACGTATTTGCACCTATACTATTTTCATTGACTAGGCCCTCTACTAGTAGCAAGACGTTTCTGAATAATATTATCAGCTCACCATCAATTCATCATACTACTAATCACAATACTGTGGATTGGGAGTACCAGCTTGGCCTTGATTGTAACTTCTTGCCTTTGGGACGTGAAGTGGCTAATAGGTAACAATAGTTTGAATTCCCCAAGCAATTATTTACTAGTCACAATCAACTTTAATAGTTATAAAGTTGGGTCGGATTGGCTAAGGAAGTTGTAATTCAAATTGTTGAAATATATTATGTTTGAACTATTTAATTCAATTAGATTTGTATCTTATATTTATTTAGTTATGAGATCAAATATTTAGATTTGACTATTCTATTAAATTTGTTCAGTCATAAAATTAAATGTTTAGATTGAATTATTCTATTGAATCTGGTGTATCCTATTTGATTTAATTTTATTACTAGAAATTTTAAGAAATTAAATAAATAGAGCATTAAAAAAAATTATATAAATTTATTTTAATTGTTAGTTGAGATTTTTTAATTTTATTTTAATTTGAACTTTTAATAAATTGAACTTTTAATTTAATTTTTTATTTTAGTTGAGATTTTAATTTTATTTCAATAAGCTCATGATAATTCAAATCCTGAGCTTATTCTGAGCTTTTTGTCCCACACCCTCTCCTGGGATAGAGTTGTCCTATATATGACGGACTATTAGTCCAGATGAACTCACAGTCCGATACAAATTTTTTGAACCAAATAATAGACTATTCCGTCCACCGGATTGTGAATCTTATTCTATTCTCCTATCTTTCCAAACAAACGTTATTGTTGACATAATATTTTAAATTAATGATGCAGTGAAAATTTATTAGTGAAATATATATTAACTTAGTTTTTTGTAAGTAATTAAGAGATAAATAACAACTCACTCTAGAGTGGTATTATAAGTCATATTTTTTTAGCTTTTTATAATGTGAGATCAGATTAATAATTTGTGATTACCAAAATCATATATGAAGTGGCTAAATAGGTAACAATAGTTTGAATTCTCCAAGCAATTATTTGTCACAATCAACTTTAATAGTCATA